CGTAATTATGCTGCATTGCGTATGACAATTTATGTATGTCAGCTGTGTTTACGTCATTTCGCGCGTTGCTAATTTCAGCCTAATTATTGGCAGTGATGTGCACACAGAGGTAAAATATATCGTCTGTTTTTTATTTTTTGTATCTCTAATTGTTTAATTAAATTATATTAAGACACTAAATGACACTAAATTTCGACAGAAATAGAAAAAAAGGAGGGAGGAAAAAAGATTTAGATTTTTAAATCGCTTTTTCTTTTCAGATCTTAAGGTTGTACACTATATGTAAATTTTTCTTACCCGCTTTTCTAATTCATCGATCTGACAGCCTACGCGTCGCGGACGAAACGTAACGAAGAAATTGTCGTGTAGCAATCCACCCACGTCGCGATCGATTCATGTTTCTCGTCTCTTCATTGAATAAGCATCCATTGTCGAACAATGACAACGATGCGTCATCAGTCTAGCATAATTTACAATCTAGAATGTAACGCCTTTTGAAAACTAATTGGCTCGATTCTTCACAGCCGATTGAAGCCGTGTCGCACGTCCTTGAATTGTATTATTTCTCCTTCCTAGTAGCTTTGCAAACTTCGTCCGATACAAAGAAAAATGCTAGAGAGCAGAGACAGTTTATCAATTGCCTTATTACGGTTAATGTACCATATCCGTATTCCATATATATAAAGTCATCTGGTGCTTCGTGCAAAAAGCGAATTATCGCGCATCGAGAATTTCTGCTCACATTTCTTGCGGCCGATATAGCTGCGGCGGCAATATTCGGATCCTAAAAAGAGCTAAACATCGCCGTTATATTACGTCTTTCTGTACAGCATGTGTTTTCTGCGGCGATGTCGGGGAACTCTTGCTTTGGTTGGACGCAATCTCGCGCGTTACGAGTTTCTTAAAATAGCAGCTCGTTGCTCCCTCGAATCTTCACGTATGCATTTCTCTCGGCACGTGCGATGCACGCATTGAACTGTCCTCTCAACACGTGACCAATCCGCGAATGTTTCCTTTAATTAAGACTGACTTCCTTTTCATAACGCTATTAATTATATACAAAATAGAAGCGTCCGATTTTATCCGATAGATTTCGGAAAACTTGAATTAAAAAAAGATTCGAAGGGATTTTTTAGCGAAGGAACAAAAGAGCTTATTCGCATGCGCCGTTAATTTTTACAGTCTTATATAACATTAATAAGATTAAAGTCGTTTGAATAATAGATTCTTCATGCTTCTACAGAACTCCCTTCTGAGGAAGTCTATATATAAACACTTCTGTATTGCTCCATTTCCTTTGCTTCCTCGCTCAAAGCTTACGAAAACGTTTACGGGAGCTTTGCACGATAAACGGTAGCTATACATATATTCGAATGATCGAGTCGAGTGTTTCTCAGAAATGGCTCTTGTTTGCACTCGCATCCATAAGTCGAAACTCTAAGAATAGGCTCATATTTAACTTGAGATAATAGATGCATTTTTATCGTCAGCCTTCAATTTATATTGGCTAAATAAATAGATGTAAAAAATTTTAATAACTTTTTAATAATAGATTAATTAGAATTATGAACGTCTTAAACTAGATTACACGATCATATCTCTTATTAGAGATTAATGAGGTTTTTTTTTATATCGAAACACTTTCAATAGCATTGACAAGACTTTGACGTCGCGACAAATATCTATACGTCGTTCGGATTTCGAATTTTCGCTAATCGCACCTCGAGATCGTCCGCGAAAACGAAACGGCCTACTGGCCGACTGTTTGCCGTCTGTATAAATTGCGGAGGAAGGACGTGTCTGAAGTAACCGAACGGGCCGATGGAGGGACGGAGAAGGGACTCTTGCACGACGGAGGCGAGAGAGACGAGAACGGAGGAACTTGGTGAGCGAGCGGGAGAATTACGTTTCGTGATGGAGAGAAAGAACTCCCGGGCGGTTCTCGTGGGCACACGCCTCTCTCGCTCTCCTCCGAAGAGACCTGTCTCTGTCTCGGAGCACCGGCGTTGCCTCAGTCGACACTAGAGAGAGACCCGCGATGCTCCTCGTGATCGCGTTCTGTCCCTCGTGATCGTCCCGAATCATGAGAGGAACTCGCGGCGGAAGTCGCGTCTCGGTTCTTCGCGGATGCGAGTCGTTCGCTGAAACGCTCCTAAACGGAAGTCGGGTGGGACATATCGGATAATTCGCGGAACGCCCGCGATGACGTATTTATGAATCAATACACTTCGAGTTTGAGGAAAGAACGACGGCGTAATTTGCTAATAATTGCTCTTGACAAAGTGCTATGTGAGGAGGAAATTACGTGTAAATTAAGCAATTAAAAAATTTATAAATATGCAATGGAGATATGTATTACACTTTTTTCAAAGTATTACGCTTGAAGTAATATATTTGACAGTAGTGGTGTCATAATTACATACCACCGTAACCGTAATATCCAAGAAATCTGACATCATTGCGCTGAAAAACGTTAATGAAGAGACGATTTCAACAGACGACGAAGAATTCCATACACGTGAATTCTCAAGCAAACTCAAGAAAGTCGGTACAGAGAGAGAGAGAGAGAGAGAGAGAGAGAGAGAGAAGAACTCTCTGCTGAGATTAGTGATAATTGCGTTGGGAAAGTGACAGCGCGCGTGAGATCCGACCGATGTTGAAGATGCCGCGCAGCAGGGACGAAACCGACAATATGTCGCTCGGTGCGCATCGTCTCCTCCACAGATCTTGCAGGGGCAAGGCTCACGCTAGCGGGATAGCCAAGCAGAACCTCCGTCGAAGCGTATCCTCGCCAAAGTCCCCGAGGTCCTCGATGCGGGATAATTTGGCGAAGCAACGCGAGTCCTGCGTCTCGAACAACGGCCTCGCATCCGGTAGAAAGCACAGCAGAAATAGCACCAGCTCGTGGGAATACAGCGACAGCGATAGCATGCATTCGTCCGAAATCGGGCAGAACGGCTACGAAAATCGACCGATCAACACGAATCTCGATCGATCACCGAGCGTCAAGTTCGACAAAAAGAGGATCAAAGGATCGTACGGCAGCAATTATCGTTGCTCACCGTTACCTGTGAAAAATGTGAGGAAGGAGAACTGGGAGGATACGCTACGCACAGGATGTCTAGACGACAGAATCAAGAGAATGGAGAAGGGTTGGGACGATAGTAACGTCATCAGGATACCGAGGGAACGTAAATGGCACAGGATCACGGCGGAAATAGAACAGAGAATACCGAGCGCGAATAGTGGACTTGGTATGCTCGGTTTCAAGAATAGCTGGACCAACAATTCGAAGAAGGTGTTGAAGAGAAGCCGGCCGGGTCATCCAAGATGCGCGAAACCGATTCAGGATATTATCGAGTGGGAGGAGCTGTTCGAAATCGCCTTGGCCAGGAAGATAAAGCGAAAAATACGGGGAAAAGGAAGAATAGAGTCGAACAGAATCGAAAGTATGAAAGATGGGAAAAGTAATCGCGCGAAGGATGAAGAAGAGTGCATGAAGCGCCTCGAGGTCCTTTTGGAAAATAGAGTGAAGCCGCAAATCGACGAGGTACGTTTTGCGATGGATTTGCAGAAAATTAGGCATTTCATTTTTCTAGAAAAGGAATGCAATGGAAAATTATTTTCGTCAATAAAAAATGATTGAAAAATTCTCATAATTTTTAAAAATACATAGACATCTGTTTAAAATAATGCAGAATACAAGAACCGTTTTTCTTCGTCGTTTTATCAATCTCAATAAAGATGTCATGTATTTGTAATATGCACCTCCAGCGAATCCAGGAAATTTCTGACAAATTGTCATCGCGTGAGAGTGCGTGAAACGGCAAGTTTAAAGGGCAAACTCGTAATATTCGAACAATCCCATCATTTAGGCCTTTTGAAGGAGCGGCGCTTATCGTGAAACAATGGCGCGTTGTGCGCTACCAATGAGCGCTGAGACCTGATGCATGATAATTTATATACCAGGAAACTCACTGCGTGTGTCTGTCGTCCTTACCCGGTGGAGCGAGTCACCGCACCGCGGTTGTTCGATGCGGAAATCGATACGCGAAAATTCGCAGCTGCATCGACTGCATAGTGTGCGTGATTCACGCGTTGTTTCATTAGAATAGAGTCACGAAATACGTTTAACTTTTGGCGCGTACAGATTTAATAGTACAAGCTAATAAATCGTACAAGACGGTTGTATAACTTTAATACCTCTACAATAAATTATCAATAATATAGCATGATTATATATAATTTTCTGTAAAAATCGTTAATACGTCGTGACTCGTTTGATACTGGCAAATCGATGAAGCTCTTTCGAGATAATAGGCATTCTTGAAGAGGGATAAGGAGGCTATACGAACGGGGGAAGATAGAAATAGAAAGGATCGAGCGAATGCCATTTCGATGTTAATGAGCGGCCGTTTAATGGTACGCAGGTCCGTTCGTCATAAACGCGCCGCGTAGCCACGCAATAAAACATTTCATAATGATCCATCGCGACTGATCGTCGCCGGTAGCGAGATACTCGAGGACGTATTGCCGATTCAACCTATCGTGTGGGCGTCCGCTGTCCTCGCTAGGTCGCACCTAGCGAGTTTGCCGGTGGCAAAACGTCGATAAAATTCACGACTGATCGTTTAGCGTTGCGGAAAAAAAGGACGAGAAGCTCGCGTGACTGAAAGTACAGAGATGCTGCAAGATCACTGCAAACGATTCCATTAACTCATACCCGTTTGATCTTCTCCCGAAATAAAATACACTCTAGAATTGATCTTCTTCAGCAATCAATCGCATCTTATTTCTTGAATCTATAAGCTTCAAAAGAATGAGTTTATTATAAGATAATTTTTGTGTGTGAAATATATATCGTTCACATTTTTTAAGGCGAAGTTAAATTTTAGTTTAATGAAGAATAGCTTTCCAGTATTTTTATGCTTTTCGGAAAATATTTTATAATATTGAATAATTTATTGATTTATTATACTTTATATATATTTATTTTACAGGCACGATCAGAGGAGCATCTGGCGCAAGAACAAGCATGGCTAACTTCCGAAAAGATCTGGTTATTGCATCGAGGAGGTTTCACTCCTGCCACAAGGTGCGGTTCCGCCGATCCCGACACAGGAAAATTGAGAATCCGATTGACCACTTCTGGAGAGGAGTTGCTCGTGGACGAGGAAGACGTAGAAAAGGTATAGTGCCATCGATTACATCTTGTAGTCAGTTATCATCTATATGCTGAAGCGTACTTATTAATCAATTAAACCGTTCGCATTGTCTCTTTTAGGCTAACCCACCCCAGTTTGATAAAGCCGAGGAGCTTTCCCAGTTACGGTTCTTGAATGAATCGTCCGTTCTCCACACGTTCAGGCAACGTTATGCCAGTAACTTAATACACACATATGCGGGGGACAGCATGATCGTTATCAATCCGGTTGCACCATTGGCGATTTATTCTGAAAAGGCAAGGCTACTTTTACGAAAGTTTACTTGAATGTTACGTTGCTTCATTTTTTTCAGTGTGACAATTAAATTTACAGTAAATTAAATTATAAAAAAATTGTTATTATCGGTTTTCAAACTATTCATTTTTGATGAATTTTGAATGTCAATATTAAATTTTTATACTACTGATACATACATATATATGATTAAATTTTTATATTTAAAAAAAGATAAAAATGATATTTCTCTCCTTAGGTTGCGCACATGTTTCGAGGTTGCAAAAGCGAAGATATGCCACCGCATATCTATGCGATAGCGCAGTCGGCTTATCGAGGAATGCTGGCGACACGCAGGGATCATTCTTTGGTTTTCCTCGGACGAAGCGGAGCGGGGAAAACTACAAATTTCAAACATGCTCTTCATTATCTCGTATTGGCTGCCGGCACGGTTAACAAGGCAAGTCGAAGGGTCGAGAACGCACGGGACGTTATTCATAATACGGGAACGTCTCTGAGCGAGCGTCGTTTCCTTTTTACAGATCTTGACGATCGAGAAGCTGAACGCGCTCTTCACGGTTCTCGAGGCCTTCGGAAACAGTAGAACGCATATGAATTCGAACGCGACGCGTTTCACGCAGCTCTTCAGCCTCGACTTTGATCAGTCGGGTCAGATCGCCTCGGCCTCTCTGCAAGTAAGGAAAACACTTTTCTCTTTCCTTTTGTTCTCGCGTGCTTCGTACGATGAATCTTTCTCTCCCCTCACAAGGTGCTGCTGCTGGAGAAGTCGAGGATAGGTCGACGAGCCAACGGAGATCCGACCTTCCACGCCGCCTACCGTCTGTTGGCTGGCGCGGAGGGTGCACTGAGGAAAGAGTTACATCTTACGAATCTAGTCGCCGAGAACAATCCCTTCGTCACGCCGCTGCAGAAGCACGAGGACAAGCAGCGGGCTATGGTCGAGTTCAACCGCATCGTCGCCGCCTTCAGGATACTCGGCATCTCCGAGGCTGACGAGAAGGTCATCTGGCTGGTGCTGGCCGGCATCTATCATTTGAGCTGCGCCGGGGCCGTGAAGGCCGGCACCAGTTCGCAGAGCAGGTGGCAATTCGCCAGGGTTGAATGCGCGGAGAAGGCCGCCAATCTTCTGGGCACCTCCGTCGAGGAGTTGAGCCGAGTGGTCTTCTCGTCCAACGGAGGTGGCGCTGGAACACCGAGCACTCCGAGACCGGCTCTGAGAACGCCTAGCCCGACCGAGCAGGGCAAGGACGTCACCGGGCTCGATGCGCTGGAGGGACTCCTGGTCGGACTCTACTCCGAAGTCTTCCACTGCGTCGCGGCTCTCATTAACAAGTAAATATCAATTGGCGGACTCATTATGCTCGCTCGAGTGACTTTTTTATTAACATCACATTAAAGTGTTTTTAATCGTCGGAAGTTAAAAAATTAAAACAAAAAAGGTAATCATGACTTGATATAATACTTGAGATACTTATCGTCTCAAGCAGCTGGAGAGATGATTAACGATGGAAATTATAAGAATCAGTTGCACAAAGCTATTAATTTTCTTGACAGTATTTATATACTATGTACTTGTCATTTTTTAGATCCATATCATCCGCTGTACATACGGTTTCCTCTGTGCTGCTGTGCGATTCGCCAGGTTTTCAAAATCCTGCTTCGTGCGGCCGGCAAACCGGAGCAACTTTCGAGGATCTTTGTCACAATTATCTGCAGGAGCGTCTGCAGTTACTGTTTCACCATACTACGTTGATAGCTCCGAAGGATAGGTAAGTGTAAGAATAAATTTCGAATTTCTATTCTCAATTCCTCCATCAATGTTTTATAATAATACAGATATTTTATTTATATTTATAGCGTTATTAACATTTTTTCGACCATTACAATTTATATTATTTATTACAAGTGGCATTATGTGAAAATTAATTTATATAATTTTATCAGATACGTCCAGGAGGGCATTGACGTAGATTACGAGGACGATTACGATGAGGACGGCATCGGGTCGCCTCAAGGTTTAGTTTCTCTTCTGGATCGCGGAAGCTCTCAAAGCGCAACGATGTTGCGAACTAGTCAAAGCGATCTTAGCGGCAGCAGGCAGATGGAACGAAAAGGATTACTCTGGCTGTTGGACGAGGAGACCGTATGTCCCGGAGGTAGCGACGAGACTTTCCTGGATCGTTTATTTTCTCATTATGGAGACCGAGGTAAAATTCATTTCCCGACATCGACGCATCTATATTCGTCCCAAATATTTTATTTCATTTTTTTATTTTACATGAAAATAATTTTATAGATCATCAAACGCTTTTGCGAAAAGCGCCGGGGAACAATCAATTCGTTTTACAACACTTGTTGGGAACAAATCCCGTTCTTTATACTGCCACCGGTTGGCTTAAGGCCACGCGCGAGAATCCTGTCGCCAAGAGTGCCATCACAATACTTCAAGAAAGCACACGGTAATATGTCGCTGATTTATTTAATTTCATGCAAAAACTTTCATTCGCAAAATATATATATATATATATTTTTATATTATATATATATAATAATATATATAATATAAAATGTTATTATAATATCATATAATTATACGATATTTATAATATTTAACATACCTGTATATATTTTTTATATAAAAATTTACAGAGAACACGTGAGCAAGCTGTTTGTAAGTGCCCGAGGTGCCGGTGTTTCCGGCGCTTTATGCGGTTCCATGCCAGGGCTCGAAGGCTCGCAATCCTTGAGGCGAGCCTCGAGCATACGAAGAACATTCACTGCCGTGAAAAGGAAAAATGTTTGTCTGCAAGTGAAATTTACAGTAGTGAGTATTTAATTTCCCACTTTCTTTTCTCCATGTGAAAAGACGATTTAAATGATTGATATCTTGAATTTTTCTTATTTCATTAGCAAATATTCTCTTCGCGTCTTGGAATATCACGGCATCTATGGTAAAATTACTTTTCTCGGTCATTTACACGTCATTAATCTCTCATTAGTCTCTCTCGCGGTGTCAAAGATCAGACTATTATCACAAGTTTCATTATCGCAAGGCCGTACATTTTAACATCGCGTAAATGTTACACTAGCTAGTGGACATTTTCACGCACGTTGATCATTTCTTCTTAGCTCTGCGAGGTGCGAGATGTTTGGCATGTTAGAAATGTTCGGAGAAATATGTTGTGTTAAGATGATGTGCTGTTACCTTGTGTTGTTCTCGTGTTTTCTTTTTTGCGCTCGTTATCTAGTAAGAACACAATACTGCGATTCTTTGTTTATCTCCCCAACGTATGTCCGGGGCATTATAAAGTGGAATAAAGCACGACCGTAAATTGTTTGCAGGATGGTCTCGTGGAAACGCTGCGGAGAACTCGCGTGAAGTTTGTGCACTGTCTTCTACCTCAGCACAATGCAGGTTGCACCGACAATAAAAGCCTCCTCTCTGTGAAATCGAATCAGAGCGAGGACAGCGTCATCAATGTGCCTCTTCTGCGATCGCAGGTAAAAACATTTTACTAGATTAAAAAAATATTAACAAATTAAAATATTTTATTAGATTAAAAAATTTTTTAAATTAATAAGTTTAATTAATTAATTATTGAAAGATATCAGTTTGTCATATTATTACAGAAAGACCTACTTTCTATAATTTTTTGTAAAATCTCTCAGCAGCATCACGAAATAAATATAATTTTTTTTTTAATACCAAATATTTTTGTCTGACATGTTTATATGACTTGTAAACAGATTCGCGGAAGTCAGATAATAGACGCTATTCGTCTACACAAAGTTGGATTCCCGAAACATATGGCCCTGGGTGAATTTAGACGTCGATTTGGATTACTTTCGAGCGACGTGAACGCTCGTCCCGGAAGTCCTGTCACCGATGAACGTCGCGCCGTCGAGGACATGCTGCTGACCGTCGACGTCGATCCCGCATCCTATCGAGTCGGCCAAAGCCAGGTGAGTCAATATTTTCTCGAAAGTCCGCATAATTTTGTTGAACTTACGGTGCAACCTGGAAAGTAGACAAACTATTAGAAACAGAGAAAATGTCATCAATCATAAAAGCCGCGACAAATAATATTTATTGCGAGAAAGTTTGTTACGACATTGAAATATTTATCAATGTGATGCCGCTTTGCGTCAAATGTCAGAGAAAAGGCGTATATAAATCTGACAGGTTGTCATTATAGGATTAGTTATAATAAAATTTACGAGATAAAAAAGTTCGACTAGAGGTTTAAATAATTGATTCATGTCTAAGGAGTGTAACGCGAGAAATAACATATATTAAGAGATACACACGTAACACACTCGGAGAGATTATGTTGGAAAGTGGCGATGTACTTACCAGAGTTGTCTCATCATCTTATCATTTTATTATTCACGAAATCCTGATACTCTGTACGCGCGCGATTTCTTGCTCAACCATGGGAAGATATATATATAAATATAATATTCGCTTTCTAATAGAACTTTACTTCTCGAAGGAGCTTATAAATCTTTACGGTACGTTAAATGCGAATAACCACTTAACCGCACATCTTTTTTTATCGCGACGACGCTTTTACGACGCGACGCTCGCAGAAAAGCGCTCTCGTCTCGCAGGCCGAGATGTGTCAATGCACTTTCGCTTGCCAAGAAGTCGTTCAAGGAATTCAGAAGGGAAAATGACGACCGTACTTGAACGGGCGTTGTGCAAATCATCGCGTCCAACACTTCCGCGACTCGATAATTGTCCCCGTCACGAAGATGATCGAGGGTCGCTGCTCGGAAGAACGACATCCGTTTCTAAGAGCGTGACTAAACCAACATGTAGATCTTCATAAGAATATACATATATACTTTATTTTATTTTATCTGAAAAAATTGCTTGAAAAAATCGCAATACAGATTTTATTCTAACAGATTGCTTTCTGTTTTCATCGTTTCAATATAATCGAGTCAGGGTAATTTGAAAAGATTTAGAAAGGCGATCGATAAGGATATCTCGCATTAGATTCTAGACGTGATTCTGAGAAAGGATTTATAGAAAGAAAGGAGCGAACTTGCTAGGTGAGGGTCAACGAGGTCGCATGCGTATTAGTCTTTCGGTAGTTTCGCCTGCGGAAATATTCCGAGAGACGCTTTCCAAAGATCGACGACGCGCGTCAGATCGTATTCTTTGTATATACAGATCGGAATACCACCTCACAAGCGCACACATATATGTACATACACATTTCCACCGTAACTGATACGATTTCTCCGTATCTCAATCATGAATATGTATCGGGGACAAAATCAAAAGTAGTTTAACTCCGGTTAACGATTTTTTTTTATGTTAAAGAAAAGCACGCGCGTGTTATATATATATATATATAAAACTATATATAAATTCAATTTCTCGAAATTTTCTTCGAAATTTCGCCGAGTTGCTTTCGAGGGTAAAAAAAAAGAAAGGAAGAAAAAAACTATCGCTTTTCCTTCGCCGCGGTTAATTTCTCCTTTTGATGCGTGAAAGCTCACGTGAGAGTGGGTGTGGGCGGCTTGTCAATAAATGACAGCCTCTTACCGCACCTGTTATGTTCGTGTATATTTTTTCTAGAGAAGGGCCACGAACGGTACGCGTGATCCATGCGCATATTCATGCATTTCACCAACTGTACTTGACACGCAAAACCAGCTTCGCCGGTTTCACCTTGCGACGCGCATAGCTTGCAGCGCGGGAGGACGCGCATCTCTGGCAAATTTTCCGTATTTAGGATTCAAGCGATATATAAATTCAATGGGCGCTCATGATGATCCACTTGCTCGCGCCGCGAATGCATCACTTCGCATTCGCGAAAATTTGCTCGAGGTTTCCTTTTTTCCGCTCGTGACGGTTGCGCGTCTCACCCAAATTCGTTGTTTCGACGAAACACACAACTTTCTGATTCTGCGAGATCTGCGTCGTCCCACTCTTCGTCGCGTGTGCATGTGTTATTCATGAAATACACCGGAGAAAAAGCTATCGCTATGGAAGTAGCGTATCTTCCAAGGAGAAATGTGCAACGTGCAAGAAACGTGCTTTACTAAGTAAAACACACGTCTCGGACGAATTTAGAATCGATTTCTGAAAGAGAGAGAATTTAACAAGTCATCATCATCATCATCATCATCATCATTGTCATTCCCCTTCGCAATGTTGTAATAATTTTTCACGTGATACGTTTCGCATATTTCATATTACGTACCATTATAGTGCGCAAATGACTATTCAGTATGGGAGCGCGTGTCACAACAATGATTTGCGATATTATTCGAAGCAGGTGAAATACATGGCGTGACGCGAGGCAGGCGCGAGGCTCGAGATTTAAAAACTGATTTCTGTCTTGCGCATCTTGTACGAGAGGCAATCAACCGTTAACTCCGTTTATTCGTGGACGACGAAGACTCTCTCGTTGTATAAGTTATGCGGACGTTTGCCTCTGCCTGTGATAAACCATACGTGATACAAGTCCAACCAGACTCTATATTTATGCACACGTTGCATAAATACAATTATTTTTCTTCGAAAATCTTCAGATTTTTAACGACAATAAAAGTGGGAATATAAATCGGATTGTCATTCAGAGAAATTCAAATTAAAATCCTGTTTGGTTAATTATTAAAAAAAGCTTGAGAAATTATTTAATTTCGATACACTTGCATTTAAAGGAAGGCATCATTTCCTCGATTATTTATCACGCATTTATCATACAGAAATAAATATAGATATACAATAATATAAAAAAGATTATATACGTAATAAAATATTTATATATATATAATAAATATATATAATTAAGAAAATATATGTATATACATATAAGTGTAAAATTTATACTATAAACGCGCTCATCAGAGCGCGAAATAATCACTGAAGCGGATTTACCGTCTTGAGAACTTGGATAAAAAATGATCCAACGTACACGCTGCTCTAAAATATATGTTCGCGATTAAGAGAATGTAGCGTGGACCATACTTATTGAAATTTACCGAGGAAATCGTCCGTGGATTATCGCGCGTTATCGCGTACACGCCGATTTCGGTTCGTTGACTTTTGCGCGGCTCGCCGCGCATGGTTTTCTCTTCCAGTCCCGCACATTCCCCGTGCCCCTTCTTTTTACCTTTTACCTTTACCTTGGCCTTGTCTGTTGCCTCGTTTCACCTCCGCCACCGCCGCACGAAATCCGCCCCGTTCGTCCTAAAGAAACGGAGAATGTAAAGTGCCTTCGACCGACGCCACCTGTTTCCCGCCGTCTGTTGGAAGACGATCCTTCTGCGTTTGATAAATGAAGAAAGGCGTTAGATTTCAATAGTAGTTTTCAAGAAATCCATTAGAGAGAATTCTATATATAATTACCATGCACTTGAGAGTGTTTATTTGTAGAGAATTAATTATTAAAAAAGAAAATATACGATATTTTTTCTATGACTTTTAAATTCTAGAATCTAGAGATTTTGTTTAGATTTGCTTATACATAAATAATATATGAAATGGCATTATAATTTCTCATCTACGATAATGATAGTGATGATGATGATATAATCCGTCGATAATTATATATAAATACTTTCGCGGCAAAATGTAAACTCTAAGCGACCTATTAAATTACTGGTCAGAAGAAATCGAAATTAACAGTCATCCGCGTGAGATCGTTTTTATCTTCATATATCTTGAAATTTAAATGAGATAGCGGCATATACAAAGTACATCTCAGAGATCGCTTCCTCCAAGCTTGTTTATTGCGAACAAAACCGAGAGGAGTGTCTCGAGACACGGGCGCATCTCGAGGCTAAGACATTATTGGACATAAATAAGTCAATTTGAGATCTCTAAATACCTCTCTACGCGAGGCAAACTGATCGCGCCGCACGGCAGAGAGGAAATACAAATTAGATGTTGGCGATACAGGTTGGAGCCATCCTCGTCTCTCGGCGCGAGAGACCGCTATATTTCTTTCACGCATCTTACATTTTGTAATCCGAGTGGAAAGTCACCGACGCGGCGCAGCGTTCATCGACGGCCGGCGTTCACTGATGCTTCCTGATGCCGCAGAGGCTTAATCGAAACAGCTGCGAACTATCGACGTCATGCCAAGTCGCACATCGGCGCCGGGCGAAATGTCGTAACTGTCTGATTTACGATGTCCGATGTTCAACGAGCGATTTACGCGATCTTCTTCGCGACTACAACGGATGAATTTATTTTACGGATGTCAAGACGCGTTTCAAGAATTTCGCTGTAAACATTCCGAGCTGAGATATTCTTCGTTACTTCGTTTATTATTCTCTTCTCTAAAAGAGCTCTAACAAGCGAATTTCTTTTTTTGTCGGGAAGATCGCTATATAACGTGGAATAAATCGGGGAAAAAATACAGCCCGATCGTTCATTCGCGAAAGTGTAAAAGAGACGAATGTAGGGAGAAAAAGTGCACGTGCTGTGACTTTCTCGTGGCCCACATACAAATTGGTCCTTACTGGTTCGCCATGCCCCGTCGATCCGTTTGCAATTTTGCACCACGAAGATATCAGCCTCCTTACATCTCGTCTCGTCTCGTCTTCGGCCTTTCATTTCTTCCCACCTATCTATAATTACACTTGCGCGAGATTACACGGCTTTGAAAAAGAGACGTCTCGCACGGCTGTAGCTGTCAAATTTTACTCGAAAGTAGTTCTTTGGAAATTCTCTGGAAGGCTCTTTAGATATGGATGACTTTTTTTCACTCTTCCAAAGATGAAATTCCTTTCACTGAATATTTTAAAGAGACAGAGAAAAAAAAAGATACGAAACTCGTTATTATCTAAAGCGACAGGATACGCGAGGATCACTAAATTATGTTCATTACGATCGCGTCACGCATATACGCAGAGTGTGGCACTCTCCTTCTTGGGATGCTACAATTACGAAGTGCAAATTACACGACCGTCAGATGAATCTTCCGTCATCTTCGAGAGCGTTTATGCGCCTATCTCTCGTACGTCTTCCATGTCCGTCGACGTCTTCGTTTCCTTTCTGTCGTTGTTGCCAGAGTGCAACATGCGCGTGCTCCCGGCGCTATACGGTCATGTATGCGAAAAACCAGAATAACCAGAAAAGAACGAGGTTTTTCCGCATCTTTCCCGGAGTTGCGTATATCTCGCCCGAGGAAACGTTAACTCCGCTTCCGTTCTCCGACGTTTATTTTTCTAGTGCATCGCTGCAGTCAATTCCTCTTCACGCGAGACTAAAAGAAAATCGGTGGTCTCGGTTACGACGACTCGCGAATTAATATATGCTCCTTACAACATCGTTATACATTAAACGTAGCTTTTTCCGGTACACTTAGTTCTTAATATCTCTTATTTTCTGTTCTCTCTCTCTCTCTCTCTCTTCGTCTTGTTCTTTTGCAATTTCCCGCCGTTACTTTACGGCAATCTCGCAATCGCCATGTGTGTACGTATTATGTGTTCTCCATTTTCGATCTTCTTTTTTAATTCATATAATTTCTATATAATCTTCCTCTACTTGTTGAGATAAATAAAACGCATTTATCTCTCTCTTGCCAAGTTTCTTGAAAAAATAATTAAGTTACAATTTCTTCTATGATGAACGTCGACGTATTTTCGGGTATATTTTTGTTATCCGAGCCAATCCGTGCCTGTTTAAACATATACGTCACGACTACCGAAATATCTGGCGCTAAAGTTTCCACAGCGGAAATGTGACCGTTTTGCGCGTGCCTTCGATTACTGCGTGTCTCGCATCTCGATCAATTTGTATATGTCAAGTAATTCCGAGGCGCCAAATGGAAATAGCGCGAGCGTGCCTTAACTTGATTAGAATATTGATTCTCTGGAACAAGTACCGTACAATTAATCCTTATTATGCATGCGCGCACCTTAACAGCGATCGCATCACAATCAACTAATGAAGATTAAATCAATCTAAAATCAGTCGATTTAAGTCTCTATCTATGGATCTCGAATCTATAGATCAGTTGATTAAAGACAGAAATGTATTAGATTATGAGTAAAAATAAAAATATCTGGTTAACATAAAGAAATTTAAATTAAAGTACGGCTTTAAAGAAGGCTCAAACGTAATTTTGTCATTCTTTATTTTTGACTTATTATTTTGATTAAGAATTTAACAAGGCTCTGTAATATAAATATAAATATAAATTGAGAGTGTTAAATAGGCAATAAGAGCCACATCGCGGATGACAGTGCGTTATCCCAACGAAACTAAATTTTTTCGTTAGGATTAAAACCTGTGCACAAGGCACTAAATTTTTACTTGGACACGGCCAAGATTTAAAATTGGAATAATCTCTACAAGAGATTTAATTCCATACATCCCCTGTTCCCCCATTAAGGAAATAAATGCGAGAGAAAAATATAGATTCGAAAGTCGCTGAATCGGGAATCGAACCCGAGACCTTTCGCTTGTCGGACGACTGCTCTTTATTATTTTGACTTGATGAATTCATTCCCCAGAGATGGGGCGTGACTTCTGATATACTCTGTATATCTGTAACGTAATTATCCTAAAATAATTTTCAATAAAGTCTCTATTATAAAAATAACAATTACACCTCATCTTGTATATACAAATTTATACATATATAATCTACGTGCACTATTAGTATAGGTATATACATTATATTTTAATTGACAATCAATTTGCACTCAACAATGCCAAGTTGGGAGGCTGAAGGACTACTAATCATGTTATACCATGATAGAGAAACGCGAGTTAGTTATCCAAGAAACTTTGCACGTCTAGGTCAGGTTCGCACGACAATCTCGGCAACGAGCCAGATCGAGATCGCGGAATATCTCGCTGCCTCCACCCACGCTAATGCAGAGAAGATATATACTTAAATTCGATATCACATAATATGTAATTTGTAGCTCATATTTTTGGTCAAACACTAGACCTTGTAAATTTCACTCCAATATTTATGTGATTTATTCACACACATAATTATCATTTTCTACTTTTATAGAAGCAGCTTTAGATAAAGCTTCTTTTTTTTTACCAATAAGTCGCGTCTTCTTCTTTGTTTATTCCTCTATACTTTTCAAATTTATTTTTATGACTCTTCGGAATATGTAATTAATAATTCAGGTTTCAGAGATTATAATCGGGATTCATCAGGTATCAGAAACGAGTGGATGATTGAAGAAGCCACCGACTAATTATCAAGCGAAATGCACCACGTTGCAGGTTCTCACACGGCTCTGTTTTCCCTTCGTCGGGAAGCGGAAACATGCATACCGCTCAATCTCGGCTTCGTCAACTCGCGACACGGGGTCAGCTACTTCATTTCCACCCCGCGGTTAATTGCGACAAGTTAAACGTAACTTCCTCCAGCTTTTCTTTCGGTCCTTGAGAAGAAGCGGCTTCAAAGCTTTAATTGACCGGGAGTGTAGGCGTTCGATATGATAAAATTCCGTATTTGCAGGCGTGCGTGAAATAGGATGTTTTTACGAAAAACTGATACTTGGATACCACTTATTCGCTGCTTTCTAGAAAATTAATCGCTCGTTGAAGAAAATTATATTACTTATTAAGTCAGACGTGGTATGAAATATAACGCGGATCCTTTCCTTCACTTTCCGTGCAACCAAATGCTTTTTGCAACACAATTTTCTAACTATCGTCTCCTACTTTCCCAATGGCACGATATAAGATTAACACAAAGTAACATATATGTACGTTTACGATAGAATTACTAGGTCACGTAACACGGATTGAGAGTTAGATGTCGTAAAACGCGGAAATCTTACGATTATGTGTTTACGGACATTTTTTAGGATGAAAATAAATCCACTACTTTCGAAAAGAGTTAATTGCTTCTTAAGAAAACCGCATCGCGATGAAGTCGGACGTGCGACGAGCATAATGCACCACGAGAAACGAGTTCTTTTTTACTTTCTTCTTTACTCTCTATGCTCCGGGCGAAATCGTTCACGATGCAATTTATAAACCCGATCAACTTACCTCACTCTCTTACGAGGGGAAGAAGCGAGGCAAGAATGAGACATTGATCGCGAAACGGACTCGATAAAGCGACATCGCGGTATCTATCGAAGAGGTAATAAACTTTACGGCGAAATCTCGATTGCAGACGCTTGGTCCCATTAAACGAAAAAAAAAAAGGCGCGGATTCGCGGAAAGAAGTTCGCGATTTCATAACGCGGCCAGAGAGCCGTCTTTTCTCTTCTTATGCGGTTCCCTTCTCTCTCGCGTTGTCTCGTCTCTCTCCTTTCTCCCGTTCGTCAGTAGGCCAGCAGACATTCTCGCCGCTTTCCAACCAAGAGGCTGCGCCGCGTCTGCTTCGGATTTCTTCGCGGCCAAGTCAAGAGCCCCGGCGAAGATCTATCGATCCGATGGAGTGGACGGCAGGATGCTTTTTCTACGTATCCGAAAGGCGAACGTTTCCATAATACGTTCGAAAAATTCGCGAGGTCAGGGCGAGATCTGAGGCAGGAAAAAACGACCCTCTTCTTCGTGTTTGGCCTCGTTGATTATCATTTCCGATTAGAAAATCAACGAGAGACGAGAGCGTTCCGTGTCTTCCGACGAGTCCCTCCAAAATATATATCGAGGTGGGTCGTAAGGTAAAAAGCGGACGGGCGAAATGGGAATCGTCGCATGCGCCTTTTACGGGGATAGACGAGAAAACAAGAAAGAGAGACCTGCCAGTTTGGACCGGTCCTCCTGGGTCCATTCGGCAGCGCTTCGATGCGCCGTTCAAGGCCCACCTGTCACCATATTTCGAATCTGCGATTTCCCTTTCCCTTGCACTTTCGAAATTTTCACGGTTCCGTGAAATCGATCGTTGGTTTTGCGAAGTTGTAATATCGAAAAAATTCGATTACATCATCATTCGCGCTTTTGATTAATCGAGCGTTTTGCTGTGCGAGTCTTCCTCATCCTTCTCGTCTGTTCCGACATAATAATTTCGAGATTTATATTCGGTATCGCGCGTATTATACTGGCGGAACGTGCCGTTGCTAGCAGGGGACCAGACGTATATGTACGTTTGAATGCGCAGAATTTATACGTGTGTTCGTGACACATTACCTGTATAGTGGGGAGGAAGATGGAGGGACGCGTACCTGATGCGAAACGAGCTTTCTGACGACGCGACGACTGACCGTGCGGCCGCTCCTGCGGTTCAGTTCGTGGTTGGTTCCGGTCAAGACGTCATCGGGCGTCGAACATCTTTCGGCCTTGACATTGCACTGCAAACGAAGAGACTCGCCCTTTGTCGGA